CCCTCCAGCCCCCCGGCAGCCCCCCAGCACCCTCCAGCCCCCCGCACTGGACTCCTCTAGCTGAGGCGGAGCTCCGCTCCTGGGAGGGGCGTGGGTGGGGCCCTTTGATGGGCAGCTGCTCCACCCCCTTCCCTCCCCATCACTTCGGGCCGTGAATTGATCCTATTTTAAAACCTATTCTGTGAGGAGCGCTGTTTAGTGGAAAGCTGTTCAGTACCGGGCACCAGAGAAACAGCAATTCTCGGGTCTGGGCCTGAGACAAAGCAGGTCGTGCCCGGGAGAGACAGCACCAGTGCCCCCGGGGAGCAGTGACACCACCAGCCCTTCCCGCAGACGCGCCGCACAAAGGACCACGGGAGCCTGCACCGACTGGCCAGCTCCACAGGGGACCCTCGCTGGGAGCACCCAGGGCTGCGCCCCTCGCAGGAAGCCCAGCGAGCTGGTCACTCCGCGAGGTGTCCCGGTCAGCTGCTGAGGAAGCTCACTGGCCCTCCCGCCCCGCGCCCCGGGCCACCCACTCCCGTGGCCGCTTGATCTCCACGCCGGGCCACGAGGGCCTGAGGACCCTGCTCACGGCAGCACCCATCAGCTGAAGCGCGGAGCCGCAGGGGCACAGCCAGGCTGCAACCCGGCCCTGGGCGCCCGGACTCCAGGGGCAGGAGATGAAGCCGCCGCAGGGCCTGGGCAGCTCGCGGCCGGGGGTGGAGGGGGCCGGGGTCATCGTAGTGAAAGGAGGCACGGATGGGGTGACGACGAAAGTGTCAAAGAGTAAACCAAGGGGGTGCACGCGGAGGCACACGCACACACACTCCTGTGCGCGCACAGCCACACGCTTGATCACGCATGCGTGCTCACACACGTGTGCTTACATGTGCATACCTGCACGCTTGCACATACACACGCACACACTCCACCACTGTGCATGGGCACCACAGTGGGGACCAGCTGACCCGGTTCACGTCCCACATCCGTGTTTGGGAACCCGTCCCTCAGCTCTTAGAGCCTCTATTTTCCATCTGAGAAACGGACGCCACTCACCCTGCGGAGTCAAGGCACCAGCACAGCCCCAGGCTGGCACACAGAGGCCCTCGGTGAACGCCACACGCCAGCAAGCACAGAGCGGGATGAGCAGGGGCCTCAGCCTGGGGCCTGGGACCTTCCCCATCACCACGACACCCAGGGGAGCGTGCCCGCCTCTGGGGTCAGCCCACCCCTGCCCTCTTCTGCCCATAGTGGGCCCTGCTAACCACAAGGGCCACTGAAAGACCCCCAGTGGGGCCCCTCGGAGCCCACCCCACCTCCTTTTCCGTCCCTCAGTGGGGCGGCCTCCCCCATAGCCTTCAGCCCAGTTCATTCTGCTCACGAGAAGCCCAGGGACCCAGGGAACACAGCCCGGCTTCTGCGGAGCTGAAACCCAAGAGGGGAGACAGTCAAACGCTGAAAAAGGTCGATAACGAAGAAAACTCTGAGGAAGAGCTGCTCAGGGGACCGGCATGTGATGGCAGGGGTGGACGGCATGTGGGGGTGGATGGCATGTGGGGGTGGACGGCATGTGGGGGTGGACGGCATTTGATGACAGCGGCCGTCATGGGGCCTGAGCACG